GCTCACTGCAATCTCCGCCTCCCGGGTTCACGCCATTCTCCTGCCTCAGCCTCCCTAGTAGCTGGGACTACAGGCGTCTGCCACCATGCCCGGCTAATTTTTTGTATTTTTAGCAAAGACGGAGTTTTACCATGTTAGCCAGGATGGTCTTGATCGCCTGACCTCGTGATCTGCCTGTCTTGGCCTCCCAAAGTGCTGGGATTACAGGTGTGAGAGACCGTCCTCAGCCGGGCCCTTGACTTTTTTTAAAAAGACGTATTTATTTGGTTTGGGCTCAAATGATCCTCCTGCCTCAGCCTCCCAAAGTGTTGGGATTACACATGAGAGCGCCTGGCCCTTTTTCGTTTTTTTAGAGACAAGGTCTTGCTCTGTCGCCCACACTGGAGTGCAGTGGTGTGTTCATAGCTCACTACAGCCTCAACCTCTTGGGTTCAAGTGATCCTCCTGCTCCAGCCTCTCAAGGAGCTAGGACCACCATGCCCGGCTATGTATTTTTTTGTAGAGACAGGTCTCCCTATGTTGCCCATGCTGGCCTCAAACTCCTGGGTTCAAGTGATCCTCCAGCCTCAGCCTCCCAAAGTACTGGGATTATAGGCATGAGCCACTATACCCAGCTTCATTTTTTATTTTTACTTATTTTTGAGGCAGAGTCTTGCTCTTGCTGCCCAGGCTGGAGTGCCGTGGCACAGTGTCGGCTCACTGCAACCTCCATGCTTCCCGGGTTCAAGGGATTCTCCTGCCTCAGCCTCCTGAGTAGCTGGGATTATAGGCGCCTACCATCATACCTGGCTAATTATTATTATTATTTTGTATTTTTAGTAAAGTTAAGGGTTCACCATGTTGGCCAGGCTGGTCTCGAACTCCTGACCCCAGGTGATCCACCCGCCTTGGCCTCCCAAAGCGCTGAGATTATGGGCGTGAACCACTGTGCCTGGCCTCACTTAACTTTTTTTTTTTTTTTTTTGGAGACAGAGTCTCGCTTAGTCGCCCAGGCTGGAGTGCAGTGGCGCGATCTCGGCTCACTGCAAGCTCCGCCTCCCGGGTTCACGCCATTCTCCTGCCTCAGCCTCCCGAGTAGCTGGGACTACAGGCGCCCGCCGCCTCGCCCGGCTAATTTTTTGCATTTTTAGTAGAGACGGGGTTTCACCGTGTTAGCCAGGATGGTCTCGATCTCCTGACCTCGTGATCCGCCCATCTCGGCCTCCCAAAGTGCTGGGATTACAGGCGTGAGCCACCCCGCCCGGCCTTCACTTAACTTTTATAAAGCCCAAGCCCCAATGCTCTGAGGGGCTTCTGGGACTGAGCAGTGCACCTTCCTTTTCAGCTCAGCTGGCTGCCTCCCAGCCCGGGCCGAAGGTGCTGTCGGCGGAGCAGGGGAGCTACTTCATTCGTTTAGGTGACCTGGGTCCCAGCTTCCGTCAGCGGGCATTTGAACACGCGGTGAGCCACCTGCAGCACGGCCAGTTCCAAGCCAGAGACACTCTGGCCCAGCTCCAGGATTGCTTAAAGCTGGTAAGAGCTTCCCCTACGGCTGCCCCTTCCCCAGGGCACTTAGAACCCCTGCCCAGGACTCACTTAGCTGCAGATACTGACTGAGCGTCTAGGAGACGATGCCATCAGCACCACCAACAGCCATGGGTCTGCACTCATGGGGCTTGCCTCCCGGCAAGGGTGACAGAGCTAGATCAGATCTTTAAAGACAGCGGGTAGCCAGGCGCCGTGGCTCACACCTCTAATCCCAGCACTTTGGGAGGCTGAGGCATGCGGATCACTTGAGGTCAGGAGTTCGAAATCAGCCTGACCAACATGGAGAAACCCTGTCTCTACTAAAAATACAAAAATTAGCCAGGCGTGGTGGCGCATGCCAGTAATCCCAGCTACCTGGGGGGCTGAGGCAGGAGAATCACTTGAACCCAGGAGGTGGAGGTTGCAGTAAGCCAAGATCGTGCCACTGCACTCCAGCCTGGGTGACAGAGCAAGACTCTGTCTCAAGAAAAAAGATAAAGACAGCGGGGACACAAAGATAGCAAAACAATCTGTCTGCAGAGGGGGATGTGGGCTGAGCAGGAAGGCTGTCCCTCTGGGTCCCGTCCTGACTGATGGGGAGACAGCTATACAAAGCCCCCCAAAAGCAGGGACAGGATAGCAAGCTACCGGGGAGCAAGCTGGGTGTGTTCGGGGGGTGGAAAGGCGGCACTGTGGCTGGGGAAAGTGAAGCCGAGATGGGATCCAGGGAGCCCACAGGGCCTGGGGGAGCAGTGCATGCACGAAAGGACCCAACTCAAGGTGACTCAGATGCACCCAGGGGTTGCGTGCCCTGGCCAGAGCGGTCCTCTCCTCCCACTGGCCCCGCTCTCTTCCTGTGGCCTAGGGTCTCCCCTTTGGCAGTGTGGACATTGGGGTCGGATCATTCTTTGGGGTGGGGTCATCCTGGTCCCTGCAGGGAGCTGAGCAGTGTCCCTGGCCTCCAGTCTCCCCCTCCCCAGTCCTGAGGGTCAACATTTGCTCTAGATGCTGTTGTGCATCCCTGGAGGCAGAATCTCACAGGACTGCTCTAGAGTTTTTTTTTTTTTTTTTGGTTTGTTTTTTGAGACGGAGTCTCGCTCTGGCTGGAGTGCAGTGGCGTGAACTCGGCTCAATGCAAGTTCTGACTCCCAGGTTCACGCCATTCTCCTGCCTCAGCCTTCTGAGTAGCTAGGACTACAGGCGCCCGCCATCACGCCAGGTTAAATTTTTGTGTGTGTTTTTTAGTAGAGATGGGGTTTCACCATGTTAGCCAGGATGGTCTTGATCTCTTGACCTCATGATGCGCCTGCCTCGGCCTCCCAAAGTGCTGGGATTACAGGCGTGAGCCACTGCGCCTGGCCGGGTTTTGTTTTTTGAGACAGTGAGACAGGATCTTGCTCTGCCACCCAGGCTGGACTACAGGGGCTCGATCATGGCCCACTGCAGCTTCGAACTACTGGGCTCAAGAGATCCTCCCCGCTAAGCCTCCCAGGTAACTGGGCAACTGGCAGGACCACCATGCCCAGCTAGTATTTATTTGTATTTTTAGTAGAGATTAGATTTTGCTATGTTGCCCAAGTTAGTCTTAAACTCCTGGGTTCAAGTGATCCTCCTGCCTCAGCCTCTGGGTGCCTATTACCACACCTGGTTAATTTAAATTTTTTGTAGAGATGGGGCCTCCCTATGTAGCCCAGGCTGGCCTTGAGCTTCTGGGCTTCAGCGATCCTCTTGCCTTGGCCTCCCAAAGTGCTGGGGTGACAGGCATGAGCCACCGTGCCCAGCAGTCACACCTTTTACGTGTTGGTGGACAGCAACCCCACCCCGGCGGGCCGTGAGAGACCTCGAGATGCTGCCCTCGGTCAGGATTCCTGGCATGCAGCCCAGGCCACTGTGTTTTCAGTTAACATCCAGGGGTCTGTGACAAGCTGCAGTTTTTTTTTGTTTTGTTTTGTTTGAGACAGAGTCTCGCTCTGTTGCCCAGGCTGGAGTGCAGTGACTGGATCTCGGCTCACTGCAAGCTCTGCCTCCCGGGTTCACTCGAGTCTCCTGCCTCAGCCTCCCAAGTAGCTGGGACTACAGGTGCCCGCCACCACACCCGGCTAATTTTTTGTATTTTTAGTAGAGACAGGGTTTCACTGTGTTAGCCAGGATGGTCTCGATCGCCTGACCTCGTGATCCGCCCGCCTTGGCCTCCCAAAGTGCTGGGATTACAGGCGTGAGCCACCGCGCCCGACCGACTAGCCACAGTTTGAGGGTCTAACCCAGGGTTCTCAGTGCGGATGACCTGCCCCCAGGGGACACTAGTCTATGTCTGGGGACATCTGTGGTTGTCACAACTGGGGCAAGCCCCTGGTGGAGAGAGTGGAGGCCAGGGACGCTGCTCAGCACCCTGTAGTGCCCAGGGCAGCCCCACCTCAGAGAACCATCTGGCCCCTGTGTCCCCAGTGCCGGGGGCCAGTCTGTCCTGGGGACCCTTGGGATACCTCACGTCACTGTGGCCACCCCCAGGTGGACAGTTGCTGCTGCACCTCTGGCACGTGGGCCAATGGCGCACTTGGAAGGTATTCCGTAAACGCCGTGGAGGAATGAAGGAATGGGCCCACCCTCGTGGCGCGGTGCGAGCGGCTGATCACAAAGCCTTTTCCCACCTTTGAATCCTCACCGCAAAGTAGCCTGGGCCAGAGCTCAGCCCAGCCATTTTTCAGAAGGGGAGATGGAGGCCACAGAAAGAGAAGAGCTGTGCTCAGGCCCACACGTGCAGGATGCGGGGCTGGGAAATGGGATGTGGTGTGTGACTCATGCCTCACTTGTTCCTTTAAGTGTTACTGAAGGCCTTGGATAGCCCAAGAACCCAGGCCTGCTCTCGATGAGGGGACGCCATTGTTGGGGAAGACAATTCACAGATGAATGTTTAGGGTGTCGGATGATGCTTGGAAACGTGGAACATGTACCCGGATAAGGAAGTGGCTGTGCTGGGGCTGGTCACCCTGAAGAGGGGACTCTTGAAGTCAGGTCTAAATGACGGAGAGGGAGTGTGTCAGAAGGGGTAGGAGTGTGATCTGAGCAGCGGATACAGGCCGTGCAAATGCCCTGGGGCAGGACTATCCCTGGCGTGTTGGAGGAACAGCAAGGAGGTCTGGGTGGCTGGAGCCGAGTGAGAAGGGGACGGGGCCGGTCGGGCTGGACCTGGGCTTCCACCTCAAGGGAGGGGGGAGCCCGGGAGGGCTCTGGGCAGAGGAGTGACCTGATCCAAGGCGGGTCTCATTTAAAAGGATCGCTCTGATGAGGAGGTCAGGCCACCGGGCGGGGGCAAGGGCCGGAGGTGGAGACAGTGGGACGTAAACCCAGACCAGTGTTGCCGGACCTCAGGAGTCACGCTGTGGTGGTGAGAAGCAGCTAGGCTCTGGGTGTTTTGAAGTCAGAGCTGCCTGGGTCCGATGTAGGTGGTGAGAGAGAGGGGACCCCAAGAGACTCCTGAGGCTTGTAATCTGAGCAGACAAGGAGAGCAGGGGGCTGAGGGGAGGCCGGGTGGGTTGCAGAGTGGGTATTAGGAGCCTGGCCTTGGACAGGGTGAGGGGAGATGCCTGGGGGGGCACCAAGGGGACGCGTCTGTCTACGCAGCTGGCTTCAGGTGTCCAGCACTGGTGCGGCAAGGGCTGGGAGGGCGACAGCAGTCTGGAGTTGACATTTTGACTGTGTGCCACATCCCCACCAGCCGTTGAGATGAGGAGGAAGATGGGGTCCTGTGGACAGGATGGCAGGGCGTGGGTGCCACGTGCTGGGGACACAGCAACGAGGACAGAGTCCTGAGTGTTCCCCAGCAAGGGGCGGATAAACATCAAGTCAATGAACACCAAAGCCGCACGCTGTGCCCCCGAGGAGAGGAGCAGATGTGACGGGAAGGACTGGGGCTGCCACACCACGGGCCGGGAAGGTTTCGCCAAGAGTCACCTGCAGCTGAGGCTGAACGCGGGCCTTGTGAAGGGCCCAGGAAGCAGGCTCTGGGCTGAGTGGGCAGTGTGTGCAAAGACCCTGGGGCAGGAGGCTGCTGGAGTGGCCGCAGGGCAGAATGGAGCCAGTGTGGCTGCAGTGGAGACAGCAGTGGGGTGCGATGGGAGATGAGGCCAGAGGTGTCCCAGAGGCCAGCCCACCAAGGCCCGCCCACCAAGGCCCAGCCCACCAAGGCCCAGCCCACCAAGGCCATGCTGAGGAGCTGGGTTTTATCTTAAGGGCACTGGGCAGCCACAGGAGGGTTTAGGGGTGAGGAGTGACATGACACCACGAATGCTGTGTTACGTGTGCTCCCTGATGACCTCGTGGGGAAGTGTGAACTACCGCTTCTTTCTGAAAAACAACACGTCCACTTGTGGTACAACTGACGTGGAATTTGCGGCCTTTGTCCCAGGACTCTGAGTGTGCCCAGGTCCCGGGGCGGGGGCGGTGGGGGCTGTGAAAGGTCATTTGCCGAGAAGCCGTCATCTCCCCACTGTACTCTCTCTCCAGATTGAAGAGGCCCAGCAGGCTCCAGAGGGGCAGCCGTGTCTGGACCAGGGCTCAGGTGCCCGTGTGGAGGATGCTGCTGTCCAGGAGGTGGGTCTGGCACAGGGCTGGGGTCCCCCCACCCCGCCCGTGGGTCTCCACTCACCTCGCATCTTCCTCCCACAGGAGCGGGACGCCAGGGCTCTGTCCAGGGTCTGCAGCCTTCTCCAGCAGCTGCACACAGCCTACAGTGGCCTGGCCTCCAGCCTCCAGGGCCTGCCCGCCGAGCTCCAGCAGCCGGTGAAGCGGGCGCGGCGCAGCCTCTGTGAGCTCTATGGCCTCGTGGCCTCGGCCGGCTCTGTAGAGGCGCTGCCCGCAGAGCAGCTGGTGCAGTGCCACGAGGGTGTGCACCAGGCGTGGCAGGGGCTAGAGCAGCTGCTGGAGGGCCTACAGCACAACCCCCCGCTCAGCTGGCTGGTAGGGCCCTTCGCCTTGCCCCCCGGCGGGCAGCAGCTGTAGGAGCCTGCAGGCCCAGGGCAGGGTCGCCCTGCTCTGCCCACGGAGGAGCTGCCTCAGAACCTTCTCTCCAGCCCCAAACCTGGATCGGTTTCCTAAAGCCCTAGACCTTTGGGGTTGCAGCTGGCGGAGCACTGAGGGGCTGCGGAGGCAGTGACCTTCTGAGCGGAGCCACCCCACGCCCTGCTCCGGGCCTGCCTGCACCTCCCACCTCCTCCCCAGCACTGCTTGCCCCTCTCGGAGCCTGGGGTCACTCAGACCGCCAGCCAGGAGCCTTCCCTTGAAGACCCTGAGCGAGTACTGCAATTAGGAAAGAGAAAAAGCAGCATGCCCAGTCTGGAAGGGCATCCATTTGCCTTGATAGCAACCCTTTTATATCTAGCGGGGCTCTTCCAGTCCTGCAACACAGGCCCCCAGCTACCAGCGGTGCAGGCAGTGCTGTGGCATCCCAGGCTCCAGGCAGCTCCGTCCTTGTGCTGAAAGCGGGTCTCTGGCCTTAGCACACCTTGAGGGTCTTAAGAACCACATTCTCTCATACTAGAAGGTACTAGAAAATGTGAAACTTGGCACACCTGTAATCCCAGCACTTTGGGAGGCCGAGGTGAGCGGATCACGAGGTCAGGAGATCGAGACCATCCTGGCTAACACGGTGAAACGCCGCCTCTACTAAAAATACAAAAAATTAGCCGGGCGTGGTGGCGGGCGCCTGTAGTCCCAGCTACTGGGGAGGCTGAGGCAGGAGAATGGTGTGAACCTGGGAGGTAGAGCTTGCAGTGAGCTGAGATCGTGCCACTGCACTCCGGCCTGGGCGACACAGCAAGACTCCGTCTCAAAAAAAAGAAAATGTCAAACTGCCATCATCCCAAAGCAGGCTGCTACTGCCTTTGCTGACCCCTGGGGTGGCCTCACAGTGGGGACAAAGCTGCCAGGAGCCACGGCAGCCACAGCTGGGGCTTTGCACCAGCCTGGCTTGAGACTGCACAATTTGCAGGGGGTGGAGGTGGGGTGCAAAAACAAGCAAACAGGCTTCTCTTGCCTCCAGCTGCCCACCAGAGGCCTGGCCAGGCACCTGGGGCTCTGAGGCCCCCGGGGAGGCTGGGCCCAGCGGCTGCCCCTGGAGAACACAGGCAAAGGGCTTCCTCACAGGGAACTGTGCCTCATGGAGAGATCGGACAGCGCTGGGAACAGCCACAGAGGCTGCGTGCCTGTGACACGGCACCTTCTCCCCTGCACGCTCCCCTGGGTCCTCAGGACTACCCACCCAAGCGCTGGGCTGCAGAGGAAGCGGGGCTGGGGAGGCTGTGGGCATCAGAGACACTGGCGGCAGCGGACCCACACACCTGGCAAGGTCGCCCGACCCGGTGCTCTCAGGCTGGCCCAGGCCGTGGAGGCCGGCAGGCTCAGGTCAGGTGTGAGAAGTGCGCTGCGGCTGTGCTCAGTGCAGGGGGAAGAGCCGTTCAGCCCGGCCTCCCCAGGAAGCCATATCCCCACTCACCCGGTAAGAGAACCTTTTTATCACCTTCCCACACTCTCCTAGGACACGAGCCCAGGAACCCCAGACCCGGGGGGGAGGAAGGGTGGAGGGACTGCTGGTCCCCAGGGGTCACGGTGCGCACCAGGGACCGTGAGGGGCCGGGGCATTCAGCTCAGCTCTGAACCAGGGAAGCCGGCACAGCAGGGGCAGCCTCAGGTGAGAGGGGACGGGTCAGGAGCCTTCCTGAGCCTTCTCAGCCTGACACCCATGGCCAGCGGAGGCTAGGACGCCAGACATAGCCATTTGCAGAAATCCGGCACAGTGACTGCAGCTTACGTCCAGCCAACCAAGCATGGAGCCGGGGCTCAGGAAGTCCCTTCCCGCCATACCACAGCCTAATTCTTACTGGGACGGAGGCAACTCGGCCATGCTGGGCAGGAGGACAAACCCGAGATGCCACTGTGGAATAAGCAACTTCGGTGCACGGTGTGACTTGCTAGGGGCCGTGCCCACGTGACAGTCCCTTATGCAGAGAAGGAAAGAGAAGCCCAGAGTGGGAGGGCAACTTGCCCAAAGTCACACAGTGTGCGGGTGAGTCCAGGCTGGCCCCTGAGGCCCACGCCCCTTGAACACTGGAGACCACTGTCAGCTAGCAGTGGTCCTCAGGGAAGGCCCGGTCTCCACCCTCCCAGCCCAGCCTCGGGGGCCCTCGCCCTCCCCACATCTGACCTGCTCACCTGCCTGGATGCTGGGCTGCCAGACACAGGAAGCATGAAACCCCAGCCTCCTGGGTGGGGGGCGGGGAGCAGGCATCAAAGCTCAGCAGCCCCGGTTTCTCCCTCTTGTCTCCTGGGAAGGGCTTGCTCCCGCCCAGCTCTCCCGCCACCGGCCTTTCAGGGTTGGGCTGGGCCCAGAGTGCCTTTTAGTTGCTTCTCACGGTGGCTCGATGGCTCAACCCCAGTCCCAAACAGGCCCAGTGACGCTGCCAACTGCTCCCCAGCTCAGGTCCCCACTGCACCAGCAATGCTAGAAAACCAAGCCAATAAAAGTGATTTCTTTTTTCATTAAAAAACCCTTTATAGTCATTTCATTGTGGTTGGAAATCACAGAAATTAGGCAGAAAAAAAAACCCCAAGGGAACCAATACAAACAGCACGGCGTTCCCCACAGTTCTCCGCTCTGCTCTCCCGTGAGCCGGGGAAGGCGAGGGGCAGCCTGAGCTCGGGCGAGGGCGGGGCCTGGCTGCCCACGGCTCAGCTCTCCTCGTCCAGGGCCTCCGAGTCCCCCCGTGCCCTCTCACGCTCCTGCCGGTCGCTCCCAGGCCTGTCCAGGTCGGGGCCCTCCCGTAGGCTGCTGGTGGGAACAGCAAAGGCAGTGTGAGGATGCCCTCCCGCCCCTGCCCTGCCTGTGGGGCGGTCAATGGGACGGGCACTGAGGAGTGGGCGCCCCTTTGTGGCACCTGAGGCTGGAGTGCCACCCTCCTATCTGCCTGTCTTCTGCCACTAGAGACCACAAACATTTCCAGGGTCCCCACGCTGGCGCCAGCCAGGCCTAGCACGAGGCAGCTGCTGTGTAAGCGAGTGACTCCACTGAGCCTTGTACCAGACAGCAGCCCACGGTGATGGGTGCCGGGTGCCCGTGCTCAGGGCCTGCCTGAGCCACCCTGGAGGCTCGGCAAGAAGCCGCCTTCCCGGGAGGCCAGGGGCAGGCAGCTCAAAGCCCTGGAACTGCCTCAGTGGGGGCCACTGGAAGGAAGTGCCAGCCAGCGGGGCCCTGGGGTCAGCTGTGAGGATAGAAGGCCCCTGCATGGGGGGTGACATCCCTGGGACCCTTCCCAGAGGGACTGGCACAGGAGGAGCGGCTCAGACACGGTGTGCATCACGCCACTGCCGCTCAGGAGGCCACACCCCACGGCCCGGGACACTTACTCGTGCAGGTCTTCAGAGGAACCACACCTCGGCCCCTCCTCCGAGTCCCGACCCTCCTCGTGCTCCTTGTCCTCCACGCTCTCCCCCTTCTGCGACGTGGCCTCGCCATTCACTGGGGCTGAGAGATCTGAGTGGGACAGAGGGGTCACAGGTCACTGCTGGGCTCCAGCTGGGAACCCCAGAACCCTTCCCCCTCGAGGACTGGACCAGGGTTTGAGCTGAGCACCGTGGGTGATGCATGCCCATCCACCTGGACCCCGGCACCTGCTGCCTGGTCTGCAAGCTCCCGACATGGAGGCCGGGCTCTGGATGGTCCCATCCTGCAGCCGGCCCCAGCCCCAGCCACACTGGCCTGGAGAACTGGGGGCCCAGGAAATAAGGGAACGTCGGCAGCCCTGAGAAAAGCCCACAGCAGCCTGGGAAAGACAAAGGAAGGTGAGGTCGGGCACGGGGGCTCACAATCCCAGCACGTGGGAGGCCGAGATGTGAGGCTCACTTGAGCCCAGGAGTTCAAGACCAGCCTGAGCAACATGCCAGCAACCCTGTCTCTACAAAAAATACACAAATTAGCGAGGCCTGGCCAGGCACAGTGGCTCACGCCTATAATCCCAGCACTTTGGGAGGCCAAAGCATGTGGGTCATGAGGTCAGGAGATCTTGGCCAACACAGTGAAACCCCGTCTCTACTAAAAAACACAAAAAACTAGCCGGGCGTGGCGGCGGGCGCCTATAGTCCCAGCTACTTGGGAGGCTGAGGCAGGAGAATGGCGTGAACCCGGGAGGCAGAGCTTGCAATGAGCTCAGATCTCACCACTGCACTCCAGCCTGGGGGACAGAGTGAGACTCTATCTCAGAAAAAAAAAAAAAGAAAAGGAAAAAAAGACACCAGCCTCCGGCTGCCCCCCTGGGCTGCAGAGCCCTGTCCCAAGTTTGCCCATCCCATCTCCAAAGGGCTGCCCTGCACACCTGTGATGGGGCCATGTCAGCCCAGCAGCCCCGAGGGTCACACCCCCGTCTCCTGTTGGACCACCAGGCAAACAAAGGCACCTGAGGCCTTCGCCCCCAAACCTCCACCGACTGCATCTCTGAACAACGTCCCACTCTGCCCCCGCTGCACAGAGCCACCCCCGCTCTGGGCGTCTCGGCGCTGGAGGCGGCGGAGGCGTGTGGTGTCATGCACTGTTCCCGTCACCCCTCTGGCGTGAGCTCCAGGTTGCCTACACCCTGGCTGCCTGGCATACAGTGGGGCTGAATGCCCCTCACTGGCTGCCCCGGGGATGAAAGCCGGGTTTGCGCGGAGACCTCAACAGGACACAACACTCTGGCGGGTTTGGGGCAGAGAGCAGAGCTGGGCTCCCCTTCTGGAATGTTCTGCAAAGCATCTGCTTCTTCAGCTGAGGAGACAGAGATTCAGGGCCCACCCCACCTGCCCCTCACCGGTGCTGGGCTTGTCTTCCGCCTTCTCCTGGGGGGCCTCCTCCCCAGCCAGCTCCTCCCCGGCCAGCTTCTCCTCGGCCTTCTCCTTCTCCGTCCCAGCCTTGTTCGCTTTCTGCACCGCCTCGATCTTTGGGCCGAGGACCCGTGACTTCAGCCGGGTGTAGACTTCTGCCGCCTTCTCCATCACGTCCTTGTTCGCTTTGTAACGGCGAATCTGGCCACCAAGAGAAGAGGCCTGGCTCACCCAAGTGCAACAGCCCTAGCCCGGGCCCTGGGCCCCCTGCCCCGGCAATACACCCTCCCACAGCGCCTCCCGGGAGCACAGCTCTGTGCGCCGGGCGTTTCTTTTTTTTTTTTTTTTTTTTTGAGACAGAGTCTTGCTCTGTCACCCAGGCTGGAGTGCAGTGGCACAATCTCAGCTCACTGCGACCTCCGCCTCCCAGTTCAAGTGATTCTCCTGCCTCAGCCTCCTGAATAGCTGGGATTACAGGTGTGAGCCACCGCGCCCAGCCAGCAACGGGCATTTCTACCCGGCAGCCCACGTCCTCCTCACCGACCCAGGGCTGCCCCGACAGGAACCTGCTGGGGGCCCGGGCTCCCGGGCAGACACCTGCTCCCAGCTCCCCCGCCCGCACCCTGCGCCTCTGGTTCCCGTCATACCTTCTTCAAGGTGGCCACCACGTCTGTGTTCTTCTGGAGGATCTGAGAGGTCACCTGCAGGGTGCCCAGCTCCTCTAGGGCATTCAGGCACCTCTTCACGTCCTGCAGGGTGGGGTGGGAGTGAGGGGGACGGCCTGGCCGAGG